TGTGGTAGTAATTTGTTTTCTAATTGGCACAATGTTGTTAAAGAGAGATGGAATTAAAATAGCTAGTTTTGTTTCATTGGTGAGAATCCTTTCTGGCGGTGAGACTGTTGCTATTTTTAGAAGTTACATTTCAAATTGGAAACTTAACCAAATTATGCTGACGAAGAAACAACAAAAGGTGCTTTTGTGACACACGTTAGACCCAGGCCCTTTGCGGGGTAGTATTGTGGAAACAGGAGCCCAGCTGGTATAGTGGGTTACACCTTGGGCTGTGATCTTCAAGGTCCGCAATTTGAAATAGCCAGCTGGTCCCAGGGAGGAAGATTTCCACTCCCGTAAAGAGTGACAGTCTCGGAAACTCCCAGGGGGCAGTTCTACCCTGCCCTTCAGGACACTCGGGGTCGGAACGGACTCGATGGTGGGAACATTTGGATTTACTTTCAATATCGGAATTATATCTTGAGTTGAAAAATTTTTTAGTAGTCGCCCTTGTCATTGATTTTATATTATGTGTGTGTTTGCTTTCTCAAACTTTTGTTCATCTGTTCAGTAAGAATGTTTCCTTTTTGAAATAATTATGTTGTTTTATTTCATAGGTCCATTCAAAAGCTTGGTGAATTAAATATTGGAATGGATAGCCTTGGTAATGATGTATCAGTGCTCAGCCAGGAATGTAACGGGAACAAGGGCAATGGATCGAATAGTTCCTCCATGACTTGTTTTTCTACTCCTCCCCAAGACTCTAGTCAGAGGTTAGCACACGATACTGCTACTGTCCTTACAAGCACTCCGCATAATCCTGCCTCAACAAATCACATACCTTTTCTCGAGGAACCGCCTTGTGGAAACCAAATGTAAGTGTATAACTTTGTAACATTTAGAAATACTCAAAGAAGAGTTGAATTTCTGTTTGGAACCTTACAAACAAGTTTTTGAAGCTTACTACCAAACAAAGTTTTTCTAGTTGGTCTTCATTGATATTCTCCTCTACTTTTTAAGCCTCTCAGTAGTTTTCTTTCCTTTCTTCTTCCTCTTCACCACCCAGGCAGTTGTGTTTTTATAGGATAGGTAACAGAGATCATACTGTTTTGGGTTTTATCTGCTGCCCTTCTTTCCAAAGGCACCTTTCAGCAAACATCTTTAAACCCTCACACTTTCAAGGCACATTGACTTAGAATATAGTGGGATTATTGCAGCAGGACAGTATTGGCAGCCTGACAATTACAGGGTTGCTGAACAATGTTTTCATCTTTCTTCATGAGTACCTGAAAAAAATAAAAAGTCACAATCATTAGTAAAAGGGTGTTAATTCATGCAACGGGAACAGTTAAGGAATGGTTTCCTTTATTTATTTTCACGGTAAAACACTTTTGAATGGGTTGGAGCAAAATGGCAAAATGTGTGGAGGCTCTGAATAAAGCAAGCCCAGACTGAGGGCTCAGAACAGCTGAAGTGTCCGAGAGCTGGTACGAGGGGTACTCTCCAAAACACCAGAATGGTTTTCCTCAAAGCCAGGTATTTAAATTTTTTTACAAAACACCTTCAAAGTACTTCCCATTACACTTAATACATTTGTCAAATCTGATTCCCTTCTTGGAAACATTTTTCAAACTCATCTGTTTGGAAGGCTGACAGCACCTCCCTCATTTTTATTTCTTCACCTCTTCGGCATCCTCAAATCGCTGTCCTTTCATCTCCCTCTTCATTCAAAGAAACAAAAAGTCACACAGAGCGAGGTCAGGTGAGTCAAGTGCATGGGGCAAGAGAGGCATGTTGTTTTTTGTCAAAGATTGATGCACTGAAATAGCTTTGTAAGCAGGCGCATTGTTGTGGTGGCAAAACCAGTCCCCAGTCTGCACAAATCAGGCCTTTTTTTCACACGGTGTTATGCAGTCTTTTCAGAGCCTCTAAATAGAACACTCGATTCACAGTCTGACCTGGTGGGATGAACTCCAAATGCACTATCACATCAAAAAAACCAATGCGTATCATCTTGATCTTTGATATCACTTGCCTATTTCTTTTTGGGCGAGGTGACGATGGCGTCTTCCACTGGCTTGATTGATGTTTGGTTCAGGGTCCTAAAAATTGGCCCCTGTCTCACCTCCAGTAATGACCTTGGAAAAA